TCTACAAACAAAGCATGTTAGACAATGCTGAAGTACCCTATAACCCATCCTTAATGTATGATTAGCTTTCATAAGAATCATACTAGTATTGGAAAAGGTGAGGATAAAGTTATTGAGGAAATCAGTCTTGGAAAACCACAGGATCACAAACACAAATGAAGGCCCTTCACCGCCCATCATGCCTGTGCCAGGTCTTTATCTAGTTCTCTGTTTAAAGTTAATTTTGAACTATTTGGCTGATAATTAATGGAAACAAGCCAAGTCTTCACTATTCTAGCTGGCAGCCTTTTTTATTTGAAAATGAAACGGTCATTCTTGGACAAAGACACAACTGCTTGGACCTCACGCTGTGTGCTGGAGGCTGCTCCAGATGGTTTTCAAACACAGCGTCCATTCTAAAGGGAGCCTACGCTTGCTGCAATTTCCCATTCTGATGACACAGCAAACTCCTTCAGCGACTGAAACACACGGCATGATTTTTATCACCAGAAAGAAACTCTGCTCCCACAGGATCAAAATTCCACATCATCTAGAACAGCACAGACCAAGAGCTGGAATGGAGTTTCAAATCCAGCTTCTCGCAGCTGATTTGTGGGAAGTCTGAAATAAATGGATTGTGTGATTCAGATTTCTTTGAAAAGCCCAAACTAAATCTTCTCCTTCATTCTTATAACAATTAGGCATTCCGCTGATTGAGAAACATTCTGGTTCCTTTTTATTGAGTTTGAGCCTTGACGTCATTGCCAATTAATTAGAAAGACTTGCAAAACGAGGAAAATAAAAATTCTTGTTTTTTGACGGGGGGGTGGTCACGGTCAGCCACAGGCTAACTTCTTACCTAAACGATTGTAGCATTCAGTCAAACATGACCAGTGCTGCTGGCTACATGCCTCCATCCCAGCAGGGCAGCACAGCAGCATGTATTTCTGGCTAGCATAGAGCTAAGGAAAACTTGTCCCTCTTAACTCAGATTGGAAAGACGTTGCTGCTGACACAAGGAGCAGCATCCCAAATGGAGAAACAGGGCCAAGAGGAAGGGGGCCTCCTGGCTTGTCCATTGCGATGTTTAGAAGCTGATCAGTGGAGAGAGACCATGGCCAAGATTTTTAATTTGGGATCGGGAAACCGAGGTCAGCATTAAAAGTGAGTTTCGAACTTGTACCTGGTCAGAAATAGCCACCTGATACAATTCATTCCTGGGATGTGGGCGTCACTGACCAGCATTTCTTGCCCATCCCGAGTTGCCCTTGAGAAGGTGGTGGTGAGCTGCCTTTTGAACCGCTGCAGTCCTTGTGCTGTAGGTAAATCCATTATATCATTAGGGAGGGAATTCCAAGATTTTGATCCAGCGACACCGAACGAATAGCGATATGTTTCCAAGTCAGGATGATGAGTGGCTGGGAGGGAAATTTGCTGGTGATGGTGTTGCCATGTTTCTGTTGCCCTTGTCCTTCTAGATGGAAGTGATCTTGGGTTTGGAACCTCCCCCAGTAACGAACACCAGCCCTAGTGCAGGTCTCCAGTGATAACTCTCCATCCCTGCCCCAGTAGAGTGACCTTAGATGTGTATTCGATATGTGTGCATAGCAAAATAAAAACATTCAACACCAACAGTTTGCATTTATATGGCTCCTTAATGCAGATAAATGTAGCACCATACAACAGCATAATCAGTCAAAATCTGCCACGGATGCAAAGGCGGAGACATTAGGTCAGATGAACAAAAGGTTTGATCAGAAAGCAGGATCACTGCACCTGAAACGTTAACTTTGATTTCTCCCCACAGACGTTGCCAGACCTGAGATTTTCCAGCAATTTCTGCTTTTGTTTCAGATTTCCAGCATCTGCAGTTGTTTTGGTTTTTGGTTTGATCAGGAAGACTGGATGTAAGGAGCTCCTTAACGAGGCTGTTTTATATGTGTCTGAAAGATTTAATACTGATGGCATGCTGCAAATCCTCACCATTGTGATAATGCCATGAGGTCTGATGGAAGATTAACTAAAGACCTTGAAACAGTCAGAGCGTAAGGCCAGGTCTTCCTGACAGTCTCTGTAACAATGTATACCATATCCTTGTAACATTAAAATAATTGCAGTGATGTAATAAACTGTATGTTGTTTACTACAAGATACACATGTAGTTAGACCAGAAGGTGGCTATCTTCATACACACTAGACTATATGGGCCCTGGAGATAAAGGTGCTTGGAAAGGCACTGGTGGCAGCACAGTCAACAGAGTCAAGAGAGGCAGAAGTTCAGGGAATAGATTTCAAAGCTTAGGCTGTAGGCAATGGAAGACATGGAAGTCAACAGTGCAGCAATTAAAACTGTGCATGCTTAGCAGACAGAGTCATAGGGTCATAGAGATGTCAGCAAGGAAGCAGACCATTGGGTCCAACTCTTCCATGCCAACCAGATATCCTAAATTAATCTAGTCCCATTTGCCAGCATTTGGCTCATATTCCTCTAAACCCTTCCTATTCATGTATTCATCCATATGTCTTTTAAATGTTGTAATTGTACTAGCCTCCACCACTTCTTCTGGCTACTCATTCCATATACACACCACCCTCTGCATGAAAAAGCTGCCTCTTAGGATCTTTTTAAATTTTCCCCTCTCCCCTTAAACCTATGCCCTCTAGTTTTGGACTCATCCACCCCCCAGGAAAAGACCTGTCTATTTACCGTATCCATGCCCTCATGATTTTTATAAACATCTATAAGGACACCTCTCAGCCTCCGACATTCCAGGGACAATAGCCCCAGCCTATTCAGCCTCTCCCTATAGCTCAAACCCAACAATCCTGGCAACATCCTTGTAAATCTTTGCCGAACCCTTTCAAGTTTCACAACATCCTTCCTATAGCAGGAAGACCAGAATTGCACACAGTATTCCAATAGGCCTGATTAATGTCCTGTACAGCTGCAACATGAACCCCCAGCTCCTATACTCAATGTACTGACCAATAAAGGCAAGCGTACCAAAAGCCTTCTTCACTATCCTACCTACCTGCAATTCTACTTTCAAGGAACTACGAACCTGCTCTCCAAAGTCTCTGTTCAGCAACACTCCCCAGGACCTTACCATTAAGTGTATAAGTAGGTCCTGATTTGCCTTTCCAAAATACAGCCATCACATTTATCTGAATTAAACTCCATCTGCCACTCCTCAGCCCATCGGCCCATCCTATCAAGATCCCATTGTGCTCAAAGATAACCTTCTTTGCTGTCCATCAACACGTCCAATGTTGGTGTCATCTACAAACTTACTAACCATATCTCCCATGTTCCCATCCAAATCATTTACATAAATGATGAAAACCAGTGGACCCAGCACCAATCCTTGTGGCACACTGCTGTCACAGGCCTCCAGTGTGAAAAGCAACCCTCCACTGCCACCCACTATCTTCTACCTTTGAGCCAGTTCTGTACCCAAATGGCTACTTCTCCCTGTATTCCATGTGACCTAACCTTGCTAACAGTCTACCATGAGGAACCTTGTTGAACGTCTTACTGAAATCCATATAGACCATGTCCACAGCTCTGCCCTCAACAAACCTCTCTGTTACTTCTTCTAAAAACGCAATTAAGTTAGTGAGACATGATTTCCCATGTGTAAACACATGTTGACTATCCTTAATCAGTTCTTGCCTTTCCAAATATATGTAAATCCCATTCCTCAGGATTCCCTTCAACAACTTCCCCACAAATGATGTCTATAGTTCCCTGGGTTTTTCGTACCACCTTTCTTAAATAGTGACACCACATTAGCCAGCCTCCAGTCTTCCGGCACCTCTTCTGGGGCTATCGATGATATAAATACCTCAGCAAGGGGCCCAGCAATCACTTCCCTCACTTGCCACAGAGTTCTAGGGCACTCCTGATCAGGTCCCAGGGATTTATCCACCTTTATGCATTTTAAGGCATACAGCACCACCTCCTCTGTAATATGGACATTTTTCAAGATGTCGCCATTTATTTCCCCACGCTCTCTATCTTCTATGTCCTTCTCCACAGTAAACACTGATACAAAATACTGATTTAGTATCTTCCCCATCGCTTGTGGTTCCACACATAGGTGACCTTGCTGATCGTTAAGGGGCCTTATTCTCTCCCTAGATACTCTTTTGATCTTACTGTATTTGTAGAATCCCTTTGGATTCTCCTTAACTCTTCCTTCTTTTTCTTGACCAAAACCTCAATTTCTCTAGTCATCCAGCATTCCCCACATCTACCAACCTCGCCATTCACCCTAACAGGAACAAACCGTCTCTGGACTCTCATTATCTCATTTTTGAAGGCTTTCCATTTTCCAGCCATCCCTTTACCTGCGAACATCTCCCCCCAGTCAACTTTTGAAAGTTCTTGCCTAATACCGTCAAAATTGGCCTTCCTCCAATTTAGAACTTTAACTTTTAGATCTGGTCTATCCTTTTCCATCACTAATTTAATACGAATAGAATTCTGGTCACTGACCCCAAAGTGATTCCCCATTGACACCTCAGTCACCTGCCCTGCCATATTTCCCAAGAGTAAGTCAAGTTTCGCACCTTCTCTAGTAGGTATATTCTGAATCAGAAAATTTTCTCATACACACTTAACAAATTCCTCTCCATCCAAGCCCTTAATACTACGGTAGTCCCAGTCTATGTTTGGAGAGTTCAAATCCCCTACCATAACCACCCTATTATTCTTACAGATAACTGAGATCTCCTTACAAACATGTTTCTCAATTTCCTGCTGACTGTTGGGGGGTCTATAGCACAAACCCAATAAGATAATCATCCCTTTCTTATTTCCCAGTTCCTGAGTTAAAACAGCACAGATATCTCAGAGCGTTGCAGGCCTGGTGGAGGAGATTACAGAGACAGGGAGCTTTGAAGGCATTTGAAAGCAAGCATGCAATGCTGGTGCTGGTGAAAGTCACAATCCTTCACAAATTGTTACTGAAGTTCAGTCAAAACCACTTGCGTATGGGAACTAAGTTATATCTACTCACAGATGGCTGTGATGGAGTGCCTCAGCATTTTCGGTGTCATAAGTGCAGCTCCCAGTGGCTGGTTTTGTTATGACATTGTCATCACCTCATTCAATCATTCATCACAACCTCCTCCATCTGCACAAAGACAAAACAGAGCGATGAGGTCATACTCGTTTCAGATTGTTTCCACTGATAACACAGTTGGATGTTAGAGCTGGAGAATGGAAAAACTAACTCACCTCAGAATGCCAGGGCAAAGACAGCAGACGTTAGGTAAGAGTAAAGCACTACACCGTCCCATCAAACACTCCTAGTGCACATACAGCCCATGTTAGATATGGAGTAGTGCTCCCAGGACAGGTACAGAGGATTAGATATAGTATAAAGTTCCCTCTACTCTTTTAAACTACAAGTAAAGCTCTCTGCTCTCTTAAGAAGGACTTAAAACTCCCTTGACACTGTCCCCCATTAAACTCTCCCAGGACAGGTACAGTGCGGGGTTAGGTAGAGAGCAAAGCTTTCTCTACATGTTTAAACAGCACGGGATTAGATAGAGAGTAAAGCCATGGTCCTGTCAGCACAACAGAGCAGATGCAGAGTGATCCATTACTTAAAGCTGATCAAGTGATGGAATTCAAAAATTAAAAACCATAAACTGAGTTGGATAAATATATAGAATAATTAATTAATACATAATGCCATGTTGTCTGGGTGATGTGCAGCAAATGCAGCACATGCTGGTCTGTGGAAGATATTGCAATCCCGGACAAACACGTCTACACTAAGAATTTCAAGAAACCTCAGTTGGAGTTGTTCAGTTGGGGTTCATGTATGAGCATTGTGGGCCATCAGAAATGGGGAGTTAACTGGTCACACCGATCCTGGATGCAATAACACTACCCAAGTTTGAGGTGGTACAGATCTGTCTCATGGTCAGGATGGCGTGACTCAGGGTTGGACTGGTATGTGCAACCCAGGTGCCTTGCAGGAGAAGTATCAGCCTTTGCCCACATCAACAGTCACAGGGACCTTACTGCCTCTGAACGAGCAAACTGATAATGCCATCCTTGTACAAGAGGTCATACAAAAGGGAGGATGGTGTGACTGTTTAGGGAACAGCACAGTCAGAGGGATGGATACTGAACTGTGCTGCCAGACAAAGGCTGTATCCAGGGCTAACTGAGAAATGATGTCCTGTGCAAAGTGTTTGAGTAGATAAAGCCCAGGTTAAAAATCAGAACCACAAAGGTATCTGGGGCAGCATGGTGGCTCAGTGGTTAGCACTGCTGCCTCATGGCACCAGGGACCTGGGTTCATTTAAAGCCTTGGGTAACTGTCTCTGTGGAGTTTGCACATTCTCCTCCATGTCTGAGTGGGTTTCCTCCGGGTGCTCCGGTTTCCTCCCACAGTCCAAAGACGTGCAGGTTAGGTGGATTGGCCGTGCCAAATTTTCCATTGTATCCAAGAATGTGCAGACTAGGTGGATTGGCCGTGGGAAATGCAGGGTTACAAGGATAGAGTGGGTGTATGGGACTGGGGTGGGATGCTCTTCAGAGGGTCAGTGCAGACTCGATGGGCCAAATGGCTTGCTTTCACACTCTAGGGATTCTATGATAACTTTGTAAATCATGTGCAAATAGCACCGGTTGAATAAGGTCAGAGATTTCATAATGGGGTTCAATGGATGGTGTGGGAGACAGAGGTTTCAATTCATGGGGTATATTACCCAGGAAAAGAGGAAGCATTTAAACCAGGCTGAGATTGGTGTCCTGGAGAATTGAATCACCAGGGCTATGAATAAGACTTTAAATAAAATGCCAACTAGTGAGTGTTGTGGGGAAGAGTTTACTATTCGGGATTAATGGTTCAAGTGTGGGGAGACTTAGAAGTCTAAAGGAAGATGTCAAGGCCACACAGCAGCTTAGGATATTGGACAAACGTGAGCTGAGTGTGAAAGGGAATGTCAAAATGTTTAATTGCTGTAGTGCATCAATGAGAAAATCAGGAAAAATGGTAAAAGTTAAAATAGGATGGACTTGTTCCAAATGCACAGGCCAGATAGATACATTTTATTTGTTCATGGGATGTGGGCATCATTGACTAGACCAGCATTTTTCATTCCCTCCATAACTGCCCAGAGGGCAGTTGAGAGTCAACCACATTGCTGGGGGTCTGCAGTTACATGTAGGCCATACCAAGTAAGGGCAGAACTTCCTTCCCTAAAGGATGTCAGTGAGCCAGATAGATTTTTGTCAATTGGCAGTGAATACATGTTTGCCATGAGCGAACAGCTTTTTATTTCAGATTTTTACAGGCAGAGTCTGTAAACATTTATAATGGGACATAGAGAAATGGAGACAGAGAAGCTTACTGATTAATTTATACAAGAAATCTTCCAGAACTGGAGTTCCAAGTGGCTAGGGGGACTGAGAGTTGAAGGAATTTAACATTAGTAAGAAATTTATACTGGAGAAATTAAGGAGGCTCAAAGTTGATAAATCCCACGACCTGACGGTCTATATCCCAGAGTGTTGAAGGAGTTGCCAATGGAGATATTCAATGTATTGGTGATTGTCTTCCAAATTTCCATAGATTCTGGAATGATTTCTAAAGATTGGAAGGTAGCAAATGTCACCCCACTATTTAAGAAGGGAGCAAGAGAGAAAATAATTGACTTCAGATCCATCAGCCTTCCATCAGCAATAGGGAAAATGCTAGAATCTATTATAAAGGATGGAAATAGACACCTGATTGATAATAATCTGATTGAGCATTGTCAGCATGGATTTGCGAATGGGATATCATGTTTGACAAACTTTTTTTTGAAGATGTTATGAACAAAACTGATACAGGTGAACTGTTTAACGTAGTATTCTTAGATTTTCAGAAGGCATTTTCTAAAGTCCTTGACAAGAGATGATTAGAAAATTTAAAGCACATGGTAGGAGGTAATGTGCTGGCATGAACTAATGATTGGCTATAGACAGAAAACACAGAATGTGACTATTGGCGTATTGCAAGTTTCGGTAGTTGGTCCCAGCTATTTACAACATGCATCAATAAGGATGTGGGAACCATATGTAATATTTCCAAATTTGCAGATGATACAAAGCTAAGTGGAAATATGTGTTGTGAGGAAAATGTAAAGTGGCCTCAAGAGGATTTGGACAGGCTGAGCAAATGGGCAGATGGAATATAATCTTGAAAAAATGTGAGGTCATCCACTTTGGTAGGAGAAACAGATGAGCAGAGTATTTTTTAAATGGAATGAGATTTAAAAATTCAGATGTACAGGGGTGTCCTTGTTGATAAGTAAATGATGATTAACAGGCAAATACAGCATGCTAATGGAATGTTAGCCTTTATTATGAAAGGATTTGAGCACAGGGGTTGTGAAATCTTGCTTCAATTGTATAGGTGCTTGGTTAGACCGCAATGCTGTATGCGGCTTTGTCTCCTTATCTCAGGAAAGATGCTATTACCATAGAGCAACGCAACAAAAATTCATCAGACTTGGTCCTGGATTAGTGGGACTGTCCAATGAAAAAACGAATGGCAAACTGGGCCTGAACTCTAGAGTTTTGCAGAATGAGATGTGAACTCATTGAAACCTACACAATACTTAAAGAGCTAGACAGGGTAGGAGCAGGTAAGATGTTTCTTCTGGTTGAGAAGTCCAGTGGGGCGGGGAGTGTGGGGTAGGGTGGTGGAATAATTTCAAAATATCTCACTTAAATCTGAGATTTCGAGAATTTCTTTTTTTAACCTCAAGGATTATGAACCTTTGGAATTCTCTACCACAGAATACTGTAAAAGCTTAGCCTGTGTGTGATTAAGGTAGAGATTGATAGATTTCTGATTACTACTGGCATAGGAGGTTATGGGGATGGGTGAGTAAAAGGTGTGAAGTGTTTGATCAGCCGTGATAACACTGAATGGCAGGGCAGGATCAAAGGGCCGCATGTCTACTCCTGTTTATATGTTCCTATTACTAATCTGGTGCTGTGCAAACTAAATTGGTTTAAGTTCCCAAATACAGTCTCCTTTACAAATAAGACAGATAGAAGACAGATGGTTTGACACAAGTATTGTGGATGGAAGAAAATAGACAGGGAAAACAAAATTCAGAAGATCAAAAATCCACATCACAAAGGAGGGTCAGATTGTGTGTGTGTGTGTGTGTGTTTCTCTCTCTATTCCTATTGATCTTAGCAATGATGACATGCTGTTGTTTATAGAGTGATGGTCATTCATCACTTAGATAATGGATTGGCTGAGCCTAGGTCTTTTCTTTTATTAGAATTATTTATGTTAAGTGCTTTGTTTTTATTTAATCTTTTCTCTCACATGGGGGAAGGAAGAAAGAAAGATGTTTTCTGCTTGCTGGCTCTGGATGTTTCTGGCTGTCTTTACTGGTCTGTAGTAAATGTCTGTTTGACAAATCTGAGGGCTGTCATATTTTCTAAACTCAAAAACATCTGGTGCCTCACTGACTCAATAACGTGCCTAATAGCAACATTGTCTTTTTTAGCTAAAAATGGGCACCACTTGATTTTTCAAGTCAGAAGGTTCTCCTGAAATTTCAGCTATTTCAGCTAATGGATTTCCATTACAGCTTATAGTCCAGAAAAGAAAAATACACGTAGTCCCTTACAGCTTTTACAAAGACGTAAAAGGACGAGATTGTGAAAGTAAGCCTTCCTAGTGGTCAAGGACAGGATGGTGCAACTGAAGGTCGGGTTGAAGTAAGTGCAACTCAGGTGCCTTGCTGGAGGAGAATCAGCCTTTGCCCACATCAACAGTTACACAGACCTTACTGCCTCTGACAATGCCATCCTTGTACAAGAGGTCATTCAAATAGGAGTGAAAGGGATAGTGGGGCCGTTCAGGAACAGTATAGTCGGGGGGATGGATACTGTACTGTGCAGCCAGTCAAAGGCTGTAACCCAGGCTAAGACCATCTCCTGGATAAGATTTTGCAGTTGGAGGAGGATTGGTTATTGTCAATAGTTCGACTGAGAAATGATGCTCTGTGCAAAGCATTTGAGCACGTAAAGCCTGAGTTAAAAATCAGAACTGCAAAAGATATCTGGATTACTACAAAAATCAAGTGCGAATAGCACCAGATAGATAAG